TCATTTCTCAGCACAGTGTTAGGCACAGAGCTGCTGTAATTAGGCAATTGCTGATATTTTTAATAAACACACAGTTGTGCATACAGACTGGTCCAGCTCCAGCCTAGCACCTTAGTGGTCTCTGGAGCTGGTTGAGCCTGTTCCTTGGAGGGCAGTTTTGTTCATCTGGAGTGTGGACCCACCGCAGAGGTCCCTCACAGAGCAGCACCTGGCTGCAGGTAGGGGTCTCCAGGAAGAGCAAAAGGCCTTCCATCCTCTCCATCCCGGCTGACAGTTTGCTGAGCTACGGAGAGGGTGTAGGGGAAAGCGCATGAGATTTGGAGTGAGACCAGTAGTCTATATTCAAGAATGGATAACATTGTTGAGCCTTTATTTTTTCCCATCTATAAAATGGGAATAACAATGACAATACCTACCTCAGTTGCACTAATACTCACATGAGATTGTTGGGAGGTTTCAATGAGATGATAAAATGGCCATCCTTTGTTACTGTAAAGTGGCACACCACTTATTTATATAAGACTAAAAGGAATACCGACTATCTTACAGGACAAAGCCCACAAGCGCTATCTGCTGATGAGCATTGACCAGAGGAAAAAGATGCTCAAAAACCTCCGTAAAACCAACTATACTGTCTTTGAGAAGACGTGCAAGGAGCTGGGGATTGAGTACACCTTTCCCCCTCTATACTATCGAAAAGCCCACCGCCGCTTCGTGACCAAGAAGGCTCTGTGCATTCGGGTGAGTCCAAATTGCTGCTTTGGTCGGACCTGCTCTGGGACTGTGGTGGAGACAGCAGCAGGGAGGGGTCATCTGTTTCTGATGGAGGCATGGAACTGTCCCCAAGGCCTTGCAGAAACTCACAGACCACCAGCCCCATGGAAAAAAAGCTGGGTGACCAGATGGGCGAGTCAGTTAGCACCCCATCTGCTCCCAGTTGGAGGTTTTGCATAGGATTACCAAGTCTTTTCCTGTTCCCTTCCATCCCCAGGTTTTCCAGGAGGCTCAGAAGCTGAAGAAGCAGAGAAGGGCCTTAAAAGCTGCAGCAGCAGCAGCCCGAAAACAAGGCCAAACGAACCCAGAGAGCCCTTCCAAAGCCGGGCCAGAGGCAATCAAGAAAAACCAATAAATGTTGTTAAAGTTGTATTTTTCTGCCTTGACGAATAATAGGAAAGAAGGCAAGGCTCTTTGTGGCCTGAGGAAGCGGAGGGATTCATTCTTTCATTCAGCTCTGGGATTCCCAGGGGTGTCTGAGGCAGAGTCCCTGCCCTCACACATCAGAGGACACACTCACACAAACAACTACTTGTCATCCAGGTGATGTTTCAGTGGAGGCGAGACTGAGCACAGAAGCAGAGAGGAAGCATGGCTGGCTGGCTGCTGGGTAAGAAGGCCAGGGGAGTATAGGAGATGTCTCTAGAAAGGTAGTTGGAAACAGAGTGGAGCGTCCTGAATGCCATGCCAGAGTGATCTGTCAAACAGCAGGAAGCCATTGAAGGGATGTGGCATATTGAAAGTGGTGTCTTCTGAAATTTAGCCTAGCAGCCAGTGCGGGTGGAGGAGAGAAAAGAGCAGTAATACAGAGGAACAGTGATAAGACAAAAAGAAATGAAGAGAGAAAGATGAGAAAGATTTTGGAGGAAAAAAGCAGAATTTGGTGATTGATAGGTAATAGGACCAGAGAGAGAGAGAGTTGGAAGCCAAGGCTCAGGTTTCAAGTCTGAATGGCTGGAGGGAAAGATGATGAATTTAGAAATATTTAAATTTGCAGAAATGGCTGCTCATCAACATAAAAATGTACAGCAGATGGCGGGAAAGTGATCTTGGAGCCCAAGATAGGGGTAAAGTATGAGTTCACTGCCCTCAAAGCAGAGAATTGGATGGGAGACCTGCTTCACGGGAAGAGGGCGCGTTGAAGAGTCCCCAGTATGATCCTCCAGGAAGGGGACAGACAAATGGGCCTGGCTTGTTTCAGAGATTTTGAAACTAGGTGGGGCTTCACTCCGAGCAGCTTTTAGGTAGGAAATGCAAATAATTCAAAGATTTATGGTCCTCCCCCATCTAAAAGAAAAGCTAGTTACCAATTTATTAGTGCTTTCGTGTCACTTTGCATATTCTCATTAATTCCTCTCTGCAACCCTGTGAGGTGAGTGTCCCCTCCAATTTACGTATGAGGAGGCCCAGCCTCAAAACACCTGCCCAGAGTCTCAGCTAGGAAGTAGCAGAGCGGTGACAAACCCAGATCCGCCTGCTCGGAGACAGCGCTAAAGTTTTGCTTGGGTTTTCCTCGTTCTCGGGCACCTGCGCACGCGGCCGGACTGGGTGAGGGTGATCGCGCGCGGTGCCGGTCGCTTCCTCGCCAGCCCTAACCATTACCGAAAGCTCCCGAAAGTCAAAATGCACCCAGTAGGTCTCAGACACTCAGCCCAATAAGCGTCCGCTCCTGGGCGCCTCCCAACAAACGGCCTGCTGATTGGCTTCTTTTACAGTCGCTGCGTTGCCTTAGCAACCGGACTAAGAGGACGCGGTGGTTGGGCCTCAAGGCCTCTGGCTATTCAACCTCGGGGCTCTTCGCCAGCACTGCTCGCTTCCGGCACCATGTCGGTGCGGGCGCTACCGCTGCTCTTCTTGAACTTGGGCGGGGAGATGCTTTACATCCTGGACCAGCGGCTGCGGGCCCAGAACATCCCGGGAGACAAGGCCCGCAGAGGTGAGAGTCTCCTGGCGCGCACAGCCAGCCCTACGCCCCGCAGTCTGGCCCCCTTTCAGGACACCCACAGCCAGTCCCACGTCCCGCAGCCCGGCCCACCCCCACCCGCCTCAGCTCCCACAACCAGGCCCCATTACAGAATGACCAACACCCCTGCACCCTGCACTCATAGCCAGGGACCTTTCTCACAACGCCACAGCCCCATCCAGTCAGAGCCCCCAGGAATCAAATTTCCCAAAAGATATTTTCACAGCAGTGGGATTTAATACCCCCATTGAGTATTATTAGGGTACCCTCACTCCCCCGCCCCAATTTCCTCATCCCCTCAAATTGGAGAGGTGATTCCCTAATCTCTCTTGACATCTGGTCCCTCCCAAATGCAGGAGTCCCAGCTGCCCACCACCTGGAGACATTTCCTTTGCTACCCTGAGCGTCCTCTTCCCCCCAGGGCCGGTTCTGATTCTCCATTCCTCTGTGTAGCATCCTCCTCCATAAGCTGGAAGCCAGTCTTCTCATTTCAAAAGCTCTTTCTAGAAAGGTGGGGTCCTGAAATAACAGATAAATAATAAAACATAAGAAAGTTATTCTTTCCCTTCACAATTGTTGGAAGAGAATGCAATTGTGGAAATAATTATATGAGAGTTTCTAAAATGCAAAAGCTGCCTCCCATATATACATCTAATCCCCAGGGAAATGACCACCCGGAACTCTCTGTCACCCCTTTCCTCTGCCTGTTTTCTTCCCCTCTCAACCAACAACTGCTTTCACTAAGTTTCCTGGGATTAAATATGAAGGAAATACTCTATTTCGCTGTAGAAGAGGAAAAGTTGATATAAAGGTAACTGACATGGCCACTGATTAAAACATTTATTCTCTCCAACAGTCTCTGTATGCTCAATTGATGTTAAGTATACATACTCAGATATTCACTATTGTGTCTGTGTGATTGAGCCCAAGTCCATGCATAAAGAGATAAAAAGAACTCCCGATAGCATACCCGCTCCATTCATTCCGTAAAGTGCTGCCAGTGAGCTTTCTAAAATGCAAATCTGTCCATACTCCCCACTACTTAAAACCCTTTGTCAGCTCCCCACTGCTGTCTGGATGGAGGCCAAGTCCCTGGCAGGACATTTCAGGGCTCTTCCTGATCTGATCTCTGTCCACCTGTGCAGTCCCACCTTCCACCACTGCCTGCCTCCTAGGTTGAATCTTAGTACCTAACTGCTTGTAGGTCTCCATTTAAAGCATATTCATATGTATGCCCATCCTCATCTTACCCCAAACCTCCCATTTCCGTGCTAGTAATTACCCCTTCCTCCTGCGTTATTCATCTTAAGATTCACTTCCTTCAGGATGCCTCCCCACCTGGGGAGAGGGCCTGGCACATAGTCCCCTGGCATTCCATGCGTGCCTCTCTGCCTTATCACTGACCATATTATCCTGAAATGGTCTGTGTATGTGTTCCCTCCATGTGATTGTCTTACTCATCTCTGTACTCCAGCACCTAGCATAATGCCTAGACCAGAATAAAGCAGTGCTCAGTAAATGTTTGTTGAACTGCTGATCTAAATTGGCTGTTTTAGATGATGTTGCCATTTCTTCCTCAGGGAAGTTCCGTTTTCCTTGGCACCTGTGTCGTGTGATTTCATTTGCGCTAATGGCACCAGTGAGCTGACAGGTAGTTCTTGGACGGGTAGTCTGCTTTGTGGAAGGCAGTGTAAATTGGCAATTAAGAGCACGTTCTCCAAAGCCACACAGATATGGATCCCAGTTCCAGCTTTGCCATTTAACCAGTTGTATGACCTTGGGGTATAACCTCTATAAGTCTGTTTCTTTTTCCATAAAATGGGAATAATAATACATACCTTACAGAAAAGTTTTAAGGATTGAATGAGATAATGTTTGCATTTCGCATGTTTAACACAATAAGCAGTGGGTGTTGTCTTTCAAGAGGAGGTCTGGGCAAGACCCTGTGAATACTAGGGACTCGCTTCCTTTGTCTTCAGGAGTTATAGTCCTGGGAGCTTAAGGACTGTAGTTTAAGAGAGTTTTGGCCATCTTTGGTGATTCACATTCACACACTCATTCCTTCCACCGTTTGGGCCACTGTCAGACGTCATGTGAAATGCTAGGTGGAACTAGATCCAGCCCTTCCGTGTGTTCACTGGAGGCGGGGCTTTTTTTGATCAGTGTGGTCCAGTAACTGATTGTAAAACTGGGGGACATGCCTTCCTAATTACAAGAACAACAAACATTTATTAATCAATTACCGTGTACCAGGGACTTCCCTGAATACCATGATCCCCACAACTGTACTATTACTATCATGGAGGTAATACTACTATCCCCATTTTACAGATGGGGAAACTAAGGCTAATTTGCCCAGGGTTACATCGCTGGTAAGAGGAAGAGTAAAGAGTCTGAACCCAGGTCCTGGGGCTCCAGGGCTCATACTCTGAAGCAGCGTGTCCTTAACTGCTGCACTATACTTCCTTACCTGGGGGAACTGTATCAGAATCTTTGGGGGAGGGGGGCTGGAAGGTCGGGAGGAGAGGGAGAGGTTTGAAAAAACTATCCAATATACCCACTGATTTTATAAAAGAAATAACAGAAAGCGCTATAGTTGGCTGATGGGGACTTGCAAAAGACCAAGGAGGGAGTGTAGGATTCAAACTTGAGAAACGCTCATCTGTTCCAGCATTTGGAGTTGATGTCGCTATAGGTGTGACAAATGCCTGTGCCCAAAGGCCTGTAAAACACCAGACATGGTAAACTAGTCTCCGTTGAAGCTTTGAATGGAAACCATATTTCTTCTAGATGTTGTCATTATCTTACACAACTAATTGGTCTCCTGGAGGCCATCCTGCTTCCACAAGGCCAGTGGAGATGGTGTAGTTTTTCCTCACAATGCAGCCTCTAGTTTAGCATTCAACAGAAAGGAAGTACTCTATGGGGCAACTTTTGAGTGTTGCATATTGAATGTTGTCCCACATTTTAAGCAATAGCGAGAATAATAAAAGCTGCCTTTGCCTCACTCCTGCCCTCTTAAAAATACTCGTAAATAAGACCTTATTACATTTTGTTTGCAGTCCTCATTTTGTGGAAGGGGAAACTGAGGCATAGAGCCATTCAGTGATTTTTTTTTTCAAGACATGCAGATCGCAGTGTGGTACTAAGCAACTAAATGGTGGTGAGGTTCTGTTTTTATTTTTCTAGTTCCAATTTAACAGGCAGCTCTGGGCGGCCTTGGGCCTGCCTCCCACTCAAAATATAACTAAAGTGGAATTGTCACAAACAAGAAATCTGGAGAAATCATAGAAAAATAGGACATCATTTACTTTCCCCAGGATCCTCAAATGCAAAAGGGCCAAGGGCACACACACAGCACTGCAGAGCCCTCTGCTGGAGCGCAGCGTCATTGCCTGCAGGAGTGCCTCATACCCCTCCCTGGGCATGCATCTGCCAGCTCCATTTTGTCAGCAGCCGGTAGCCACTGTCCCTTAGAGCAGGTGAGCCCTTTGCAGCACCACGATTCCCAAACACACCTTCAGGAGGGTGGCAACTCCACCCTTCTGAATTCCCACAAGCCTATCAGGCAAGACCGCCTAGAAAATAAATGCCACAACAAGATAAAAGCTGGGGACATTATGCTAAAGAAGCCAGTATCTGCTTTAAGAAGGTTGGACTCTTGCTGCTGCTTCCCCAGTCTTTCCTCTCCAAACACCTGTACATTTTCCCAGAGGAGTCTTACCTTGCAATGGGAACCCTTTGCAGCCAGTTAGGGCACTGCACTGACTGTGCTTCCAAATTGGCCTCTTAGGAGCTATTGGTATTGTGTATTGAAGACACGTCTATGCTTTTATTATAACTGCAGAAATCACCTTTGAAACAATCTAGTGGCAAATGTTTCCAAGGGAGACCATTAGTTACAAAATGTATTTTAAATGTGAATGTGTGTGTAGAACTCTGTTTATCTGAGAGTGGTTTTTTTTTAGATTGAAATCGCCCCCAAAAATAAGGAAAGGAAAAAAGTCACCTTTCATCCTTTATGGGTGGTGTCCAATGTCCTTCAGTAGAGAAAGCGGAACTAGAAGAGAAGCCAGCTAAGTGCTTGGCGTGTTATCTTTTTCATCCCTAAAACAACCCTCTGAGGTAGGTACAATTATGATCCCCATTTTACAGATGAAGAAACTGAGGTTAAACAAGTTGCTTGAAGTTATCTAGCCTAGTAAATGGTACAGCCAGGGCTCATAAAAGGTCTTAATTCTTACAGATTTCTCCAGCCAAGTACATTTTTTTTTTCCTTATTTGGTCTCTTGGCATCTTCCTGACTGCCTTTGTCCTCAGGAACTTTCTTTACAGTGGCCCCACCATTACTCCCCTCTTTTTACCTGGCAGTCACACATCTCTGTAGAAAAAGTAAATCAGAAACAAAGCCATGTGTTCCTTTTCATTCACATTTCAAGTTTTCTAATTTGAGCAGTTCCATCGGTATTCTAGAAAGTGAAATCTTACATTAATAAAAAAAATCAGGTTATACAAAAAGCAACTACCTTCTCTACCTGTTCTTGGAATTATTCTTCCTCGTGGAGGTTAGCGTTTTTTAAAAGCCTTATTTTGAATAATGTATATTCTCATAGCATTAGAGAGGATGACTTCTTGAGCCTTTCAAGACAAACCCCAGGGTAGCTAGTCCTCCTGACTTCCCTCTCCTCCTAGGCCACTCTGTACAAGACAGAGCCTCTCAAGGGCATTCGTGCAACTTCTTTATCCATCATCCTTTTAAAAGTTTCGTGTGGAAGGCAGAGTATTCATACTAGACATGAATGCAAGCATGAAAAATAAAGTTCCATGGACCATATCATTGAAATTGGTATTTTTAAAGCCTCCTCGAAAATGATGTTCTTGCTTCATGAACTGGTGTTTTCTTTTTATATGCTTCATGTAGATGAATGGACAGAGGTGGACAGAAAACGAGGTATGCTATCTCTGGGCTGCATGTATTCAGTCTGCATCCATAGGTTCACTCAGTCCTTTATCAGTGGGGCTTAATGTGGGGCCACTCTAAATATTTCAAAGTAAAAAAATAGGCATGACTTTCTCTCTAACCGAAACATTGGTTATATTGGGTTGTCGGAAAAGTCATGACGTATTTTTTTCTTTGTTTTTCATTGCAAAAAATGTGTGATGACTTTTCCAACAACCCAATACATTTGAATCTTTCCCTTAAATAAATACAGCATGTAAGGTGAAAACCAAGCAAATTTGGCATAAGGGCCATATTACACCTGAGGTACTTTTCTCTCTTCATCAGTTCCAAGCTTGGTCGGGACTACTGGGGCAGTAGCTATACACCTGGGTAGGTTGTCCTGTTTGGTAGTCCTCAAAGCAATTCTGTGATAGTATCGTAAAGCAAAAGAATTGTGCTTCAACACGAGTGACCTTCCATGAACCATTCTCCTTAGCACACACAGATATCTGTTGTTGAGCAACCAGAAACATGGAAGCATGTGACTGCATGACTGTCAGGATTGTGGGCAGAAGGCATGATAGCATGCATGCATTATGGCCCTATCATGCCAAATCTTTTTTTTTAATTGGGAAACAGTGTGTTTTTCCAGGACCCATCAGCTCCAAGTCAAATAGTTGTTTCAATCTAGTTGTGGAGGGCATTTTTCCAGGACCCATCAGTTCCAAGTCAAGTAGTTGTCTTCAATCTAGTTGTGGAGGGCGCAGCTCCTGGGCCCATGTGGGAATCAAACCAGCAACCTTAGTGTTATGAGACTGTGCTGTAACCACCTGAGCTAACCGGCCACCCCTATCATGCCAAATCTTCAGTTTCCCCTTTACCTACAACCAGCATCAAACCTGAAAAAGTTGCCAGTTCCTCATAAAACATTAGCCTTTCTCACCTTTAAGTGTCACCTTCCATCATTTGGCATTTGGGTGCGGTTTATGCATGTCATCAGTCACCGTCCTCAATATTTTAAATGCTCTCACCACACCAAGTATACTGAGGAGATAACATATATAATATTTAAGAGCACAGGCATTAGAATCAAACAATCCCATTCTAATTTCCACACCACCACTAGCTGTGTGACCTTGGACTTGAACTTAGTTTTCCTCCTTGATAGAATAAGGATAATACTTCCAAGTTGTCTGGGGGTTTAGATGAGATAATGCATGGAAAGTTCTAAGCCCAGCACCTGGAATATAGTAAGGATTTGAAACATGGTAACCCTCCAGAAGTAGTAGCTTCTGTCTTTTACACTTGGTTCCAAATTGCATGTTCTCATAAACAATTAAATTTACAACAGAGGTTTGGTAAAAACTCAGTTGCCTTCGTCTAGAGAATTGTTTCATTAGGCCAGGTTCAAAGAAAAGCCCAACTGAAGTGCTTGATACACTTTTATTGTATTTCACCATCATCTTTTTGCCACTTCTCTTGAGCAATTTTTGGCCCACCTCTTGACGTGTGGCAGAATTTCAGGTAAGAAGTGTGGATTTTGAAGGCTTTTTTGTGTACGTCATTGAATCACTGGAATTTATTTTAGATATGACCCTTAATAGCATTTAACTTAAATATGACCCTCTGTCAGGCACAACTGATCTCACAGATTCATTGCACACAAAGATGCCGTTATGAAATATGTCTTTACTGTACTAAGTCACAAACACGACTGGTGATAGGTTACAGTAGAAGGGGAAGATACGGAAGCGATGAGTCACGATACTTAAGTTAACAGTTAGACATTTGAAAATTTGTGTGCAATGAATCTGTGAGATCAGTTGCACCCAATGGAGGGTTAAGCATTCAAAAATAATGAGCAGAAACTAAGTTCGTAATATGAACCCAGGACTAGAAGCCTCATGTGTTAGGAACTCAGTTAACTAACCCTTCTGATGCACCTGTGAAGAACCACTTTGCTCCCTGAACTTAGTTTCTTCCTGATGAAATCTGGCTCCTAGTACATTCCTGCCTCATGAAATGATGCAAAGCTCATGTGAGTGCCAAAAACTAACACCAAGACAGACTAACAGGTATGGTTAAAACTATTTATTTCTTAATAGCATTTAACTTAAATATGACCCGGGCTGCTGCTTCAGGGAAAGAATAACATTTTCCTTCCTCATTGTGCCCTGGTGTTTGTCTCAGTGTCTGGTACACAGTAGGCCCACCTCAACCAAGTGCCAGGCAAAGCATGTTGTAAGATGTGGGCATGGTAACTTGTGCCCCCATAGTCTTCCCAAAGAATTAAATGAGAGGCAGGACCCTGGGTCCTGGGGCCCAACCATAGAACTGCGTTTCCTCCTTGGGGGCGTTTGTGGTCACTGCTCTGCCCACAAGGACGGGGCCTGCTGTGCCCTTTCCAATGGGTGAACTTTCTGGACATTCTTGTGCAAAGAGCCTTGGTGATACACAGCGTATTTACTGCCCAGAGGGAAAGGCTTCATTTTGCTTCTTAGGTTCTTTGCCAGAGCAGCTAACAACCTCCTTGTGATGTCCCTTCTTTTAGAACTGATTCATTTGGGTCTGAGCTATTTTCCTAGACCCTGATAAGGACTGAAAGGCTTGAGGTTAACATAATCAGAGCTGATGTGATTCTTTATCTTGAACTCTTCCTCTGTGGCACTCCTCCCTGTCCTGCACAAAGCTGTGGAAAATTCAAATTCTCTCTTTGGAGGCCCGATGGGTGACTTTTCACTTGTAACTATTTCCTTGCAAATTCTGCGTTTTTGTATAGGCTACAGTAAGAAAAACTTTAGAAAACCCAGTTTATTGCAGGTTCTTGCAATGTTTAAAATTGCAATGTTGAAAGCAAAAGGCCATGCATGAGGCAAACCCGGAAGAGTTATGTCTCCAAGTGGACCACATTGGGGACATGTTAGTGTATAGTAAGGGCAAGCTGCAGCGGGTTGAAATTGTCAGATGCGAGGGATACCCTGTGTTAGTGATGGATGTGGTTATTCCTCACTAATAGGATGGAATCTAGACTAACACCCAAAGGTCAAGTGTGAGTTCAACACTTCTGTAAGAAGTCACACACAGTTCTTCCGTGTCAAGTTGGGGGGGACCCTCCCCCCATCTCACTCTGTAGCCCTTCCATTTAAGATTTAAATACAATCAGCCCTCAGCTCCCCATGCCCCGCAAAAAAATGCTCTTTGAGCTCCTTGAGCCTTCAGGGTATTGCTATCAATTACTTAGGGTACAGAGACTGCCTGAGATCATGACCTCAATGCTCTCCCTTGCCTTCACTCTCTACGAGATACGGCCACAGCCAATCACCTGGCATGTCCTTTGTGTGGCAAAAGAAAGAGGCGTTTGTATCTTTCAGTAATAATCACTTGTGTTTAATAATTGATTTTGTATGATTATTGTAACTAGCCAATTTTCTTCCGAATTTTAATTACTACGAATATATATTCTCAGCATCTATGTACCCTCATCTGTAGGCCAGAATATATCTGGTTTAATTAAAAGTAATCTGTGTTCGCCCATACTTGTTCCTATTTCTTGTACCAGAGGGTTTTCCTAGCCCTCAACTAATAATATTTGAGTTGCAAAAAATATTTAAATGAATGACTGAATCAAGAACTAAAATTTTAGACACTTTGGTTTGCACATACAATGGGACCTTTTATTCTCACCAGATGGAAATTTTCCATTTGAACAATAGTATGCGTAATAGCACTCCAGTGTAAGATCAATATTATAGATCAAATGTAGAAATTAAGGCATTCTAAAAATGGTACTAATCTGAAGTACACGTCTTGTAGAAACGTTAAAAGTGTTTTCATCTCTAACCAGTTTGTAGACTTGTCCTTTTTCATAAAATGTTTTGCCCAGAAAAAGTCAATTACTATTATTGGTCCCATTTTTATAAAATTTAAAGTAAAAATGTTATAAATTCGCCAAGCAATCAAACAAACAAACAAACAAAGTGATGCTATTTCTCATTTTAAGGAAGAAATCTAATCTAAAATGCTTATAGGAATGTTTTTTAAAGAAAAACATTTCCCCTACCGTCATGTGAGACAATGTATGCAAATTGGTTTGTAACCCCCTGAAGCACACCACGTTTGTATGTTGTCATATTTACGCTCCAAGACGGCCTCATGAGGCACTCTGGACCCTGCTTTCTGTTGGTGCATCTGTTTGGTTTTTCCCCGGAGTGCGGATCTCACCAAGCACGTCCACATCCCCACTCTAGGCCCAGCTCCTCCATCCTGTTTGTACCCAGAGGCCATGTCCTGAATAAAGCTTTCTCCAGCACCATGCTCAGCTGTATGCTCTCCTGTCTCTACAGTTCTGAATGACATCATCTCAACCATGTTCAATCGAAAGTTCATGGAGGAATTGTTCAAACCCCAAGAGCTCTACTCCAAGAAGGCCCTGAGGACTGTCTATGACCGCCTGGCTCATGCCTCCATCATGAGACTGAACCAGGCCAGCATGGACAAGGTGAGCAGACAGTTGCCTCTATCCCCCCTTGGTTGCATTTCTTGTATCTTTTGTGGATTATCATAGCCTGGGATCAGATGATGACGTACGCAATGGTGCCTTGCAAAAACAAAAGGCACTTGTAGATACTAGTTGCTACTGAGATTCAGAGTTGGGAAGGATCTCAGAAGTCATCTGCACCAGCCCTTGTATTGTTTATGTCATTCCACCTGCCCAACGAGGGTGCTAGTCCTCACGCCCATCTTTATAAATACCTTAACCCAGCCCTAAAAACTTTAATTCTGCTTCATTCATAACAAATCTCAGCTCTGAAAACCAGGCTTTTTTTTTTTAAAGCAAATTCAAAACTGCTCAGTCTTTACTTCTAATATGAACATGTCTCTCTCTTTGGGAAACAAATTATTAGGGCTCTCTGATTTTTAAAATAATAATTCCAAATAAATAAATGGCAGAAAATAGACAAATCTCCTACTGAGAAGATTACCAAATGATTTATGTAGATACTCTGCCCTCAAGAAAGGAGAGCATAACTCCCCACTCCTGATGTGTGGGCTACACTTTATAACTTCCTTCCAAAGAGGACAGTATGGAAAGGAGGTGGGAAGCAGTTAACGTTACTGCAAAGAAACTGACGAACACTGCCTCAGCCAGGTGATCAAGGTCAACATCAACAGTGAGAGTCATGTTGGTAGTATGTACCGTGATATGATGTGATGAGGCTCGCACTTTACCTCCGTGATCTTTCTCCCAAAAGACCCACAACCCAAGTCTAATCATGAGAAAAACACCTAATATAATAACATTCGGAGGTAATCTTATAAAATACCTGATCAGGGGTGACCGGTTAGCTCCGTTGGTTAGAGTGTGGTGTTGATAACACTAAGGTTGCCAGTTTGATCCCCACATGGGCCACTGTGAGCTGCGCCCTCCCTAAAAGAGTCAACTATGCCATTGTAGCCTGAGCAATGTGTTACCAATGACCATGCCTGTTCCCCAATTAAAAAATAAAAAAGGACTGCAGCACTATTTAGCTGCAATTGTTTAAAATACCTGACTAGTACTCACAACTGTCAAAGCCACCAAAAACAAGGAAAGTCAGAGAAACCATCACAGCCAACAGGAGCCTGAGGAGACATGACGACGAAATGTAATGTGGGATCCTGGAACAGAAATAGGGCATTAGGGGAAAAAAACAATGAAATCTGAATAAAATATGGGCTTCAGTTAATTTTTATAAATTATGATAATTCCTTTTCAAATTCCTTCATTATGTGAATTTTTTTAAAATCATGAGTACTGACAGTGGTGGGTACCAGGTGTGCAAAATCAGTGCTCGCTTATCGCTGGTACCTGGAAACCTCAGAGAGACTGAGTGCCTTTAACTGTACCCTCTTACCACCTGTCACTTACCTTTGGAAAGTTACTCTCTCTCCCCAAACCCCCCTTTTCTCATCTTTAAAATAGGGATAAGAAAAGCTACTTGATCAGTTCTGGAAGGATTAAGCAAGAAACATACACATGATGACACCCTTAGGCCTGGCACATAGTAAATATTCAATAAAATGTTAATTATCGTTTCTGCTCTGCTTGCTCTTCTCCCTCTGCCTTTAAGAAGGATTAGGTTTCCACAGAGAAAGGACATGGAATTTGGAATCAAAAAACTTGGATTCAAGTCTTAGCTCTAGCAGTTACTATCTGTGAGACTCCATTTACTGAACAACTCTTGAACTTCCGTTTCTTCATCTTATGAGTATATCTGTTTTTAAAGATATACTCATGAAGATCCCTAGTATGGTGCCCCATATAATACAACAGGTACTTAGTGTTTGATAATGAAGGCAGAGTCTCAAATCTGTGTCTTTAGGATTACACACACACACACACACACACACACACACACACACACACACACCCAGGCTGTTCCTATTGTCTGCCACTTTCTAAGTAAAATGCTTAGCTGCATGTTGGAGAAATGGAATCATGTAAAAAGTTCTAGCAAATGCTTTAGGATCTGACCGTCCTGAGTTCACATCTCACCCTGCCACTTACTACCAGCTACGTGAAATTAGGCACGTTTCCTTGCTTTTAAACTTGGGATAATATCAACCTCATAGAGTTCTTGTGAAGATTCAATGGGATCAGCAAGGTAATGTATACAAATGTGCTTGGCACAACACTCAGATGGTAGCAGTTTTTATATTTTCATTCCTGCCTCAGGTGAGTCCAAACCTTCTCTCCCACACTGGCTCCTCTGTCTTCCATCCCCCAGACTTCCCTGCCTCTGTCAGTAGCATCATCCGTCTCCCAGGCACTAAGTTGAAAATGCCGTAGTCATTTTGGACGGCCCTCATCTTCATCCCCCAAATCTAGTCAGGTAGTCACCATATAACTGATAGCTTTTCCTTCTGAGTATCTTCTGTTCTTCTTGTCCCCCTGCCATTTCCATGTCTGCCATCTTTATTCCAGGCCTTAAGTCTGGATTACTCCAACAAAATTTCTTTCATTCATACAGTCAATAGATATTATTGCAAACCTATTGGGAGCCAGGGACTAGCTAATCTACCTGAATCTAGTCTCCGTTCGCTCATATCTCATCATTGCCAGACTGAACAATCTTGCTTAATCGCCACTTTCTTCATGTCAGCTCAGAAAACTTCAGTAGCCCCCTAATTCCACCTACATCTAGTCTAAATTATTTTGCCTGTCTTTCTAAAACCTTTAATATTCTAACCTTGCCTTACTTATCCAACTGTATTTCCCACCATCCCCAACACAAACTGCCCACTCTAGTCAGGCTGTTCTCACTCTCCCAGGAAAATAGTGTTTTCATGGCTGCCTCCAGGCCTTCACACATGCTGTTCCCCTCAAAGAGAATGCCTTTCCTGTCCCTCAGCCAGTCTGAAACCCGTAACTGCCTTCTTCTTCCTCCATAAAGCCTATCTTGACACTTTGGTCCTCGCCAATTTCTCGCCTCTAGTCATTCATGGATGGTCATGCCATACATGGGGTTTGTTGATATCTTATTAAGGAGTTTCATCATTTGGAATTGTTCTTCTAACAGTTGTAGAACTTTATACTTGCCACTTTCACACATATCTTCTTATTACTCTTCTCAGCAGCTCTGCCACAATAGGAAAGTAGGGACTATGTTCTACAGATAAGAAAACTCAGGCTCAGGGAGGTGAGGCAGCTTGGCCAGGACTACTCAACTAGTCAGCAGCGATGGAGGGCTTGAATTTGTGTTTTCGCTCCCTGAGTCCAGCACCCAGCCCAGGACCCCACCGTCACCAATATTCTTTCAAATGTATTCCATCAGCAACGCACATAAACTGACCACAAATCCTGGTTTGCCCAGCAATGTCCTGATCTACGCCTGTTGTTCTGGCTTAATCATTAATGTCACCCCCCTTTTACTCTCAAAAGCATCTTGGTTTGAGGGATAACTGATATGCTCACCTGAGCTGTATGATATTCCCAGAACTGGTTCCACTAAATGCTTGACTGCTTCATTGTTTGGAGGTTCTGACGTCTGCTTTTATGATCCCATTTATTTTGTTCGTGTATGGGTTGGCAGCTGTATGACCTGATGACTATGGCTTTGAAATATCAAGTATTGCTGTGTCCCCGTCCCAAGGATGTGTTGCTGGTCACTTTCAATCATTTAGATGCCATCAAGGGATTCATCCAGGACGCCCCAGCCCTCCTGCATCTAGTGGATGAGACTTTTCGGCAGCTGCTTGACGTAAGATACCATCAGTTTATCACCTCTCAGCCCCAATACTTGCTCTCATTCCTGCTAATGACAGGCAGATTCTGTGACAGAGAGAACAGGATGGGGAATGGCAAAGCCTGCCACTCTCCCAGAAAATTCTAAAACCCTCCAAGTATCATCTTATGCCCTCTTACTATTGCCTTCAAAATTGGGAAAGCAATGATACACAGCCTAGCCATTTTTTCCTAACTTTTCGAAAAGGGGGTTGGTGGTGAATGTTCTGCCAAATGTTGGGGAGCAGCCTCTCCAGGTCTGTGGGGGACAGAAGAGCTGAAGTGTACCCCTGCCCAGGTGTGGCATAATAGAGTTTGTCCCTCTGGTGAGGGAGCAGTGCTGGCTCTCCTACTGCCCCTCTTACCCCAGCAGCTGAGTCCTCTGCTTGCTTATCTGGCTCCCATCCCTGAGTGCCCACCTACCCCGATCTCTCTGCGCGTCTCATCTCACTTCTGAAAGTGAATTGCTTCTTTCTGCTTTGCCTCTGGCAGATATACGGGGGTCTCCCTGCAGGGGAGTTCCATCTGATCCGGCAGACACTCCTCACCTTTTTCCAGGACCTGCACATCCGGGTGAGTGAATGGGAAGCCCAGGAGCAGGGTACCCTGCCTCTGCTGTCCTAGGGAAACAGGGTGCCAAGTAGTCAGGCAGACAAGGGCTGAGGTTGCCTAGGTAGCGATGCCCTCAGCGTTTGGCCTCGTGATGAGAAACTTTCTGATAACACATCTCAGCAGTTTTTCAGTGGACCAAGGATAACACTGCCACTCCTTCCCAGTTACCTTATGTGTTTCTTTAAAATATGGTTTCTTCCCTTCTTCAGAGGAAATGTGCTTTCAAGGCCACCAGCCTGATCTCCATTGCAAAGCCTTTTCTCAGACCTTTAGTATCGTTGGCCTCTCCAGTATCTGATGCTGCGCGGGGGCTGCCCTCCTACTCCATGAAACTCTCGCCTTTCCGGAATTTTCATGGCACCACACCTTCCTGGCCTTCCTTACCTCTTCTGTCTCCATGCCTCACTCCTTCCTCTCCATCTTCCTGTCTCCAAACTTCCTCCTCCTGCCCCCCCCCACCTCCTGCCTGTTAGGAATCGCTTTCCTCTCCACGTTCTAGCTCCTTCACCTAGGACTCCTGAGTTTAATCTCTACCCTACCCTGCTATCCAGACCGACATCTCCACCCGCGTGCTCAAACTCTCCACGAGGATGCCCACCAGTGCCTATAATTTTAATGTCTGCAGCTAAACTAATGTCCAAACTTCAAGTCCTGCCTCAACTTCCTGATTTTTTTGGAGGGCACCATCATTCCTTCACTCCCTTGGCCCAGAGCCAGAGTGTCGCCTAGGATTCCCCTTCTCTGACCTTTATCTAATTGCTTCTAAGGCCCCAGAATCTGCCTTTTCAATGTCCACACCTTCCTTTTTATTCCTATTGCCACCAGCCTTGCTCAGGCCCTCAGACTTCTTGTTGGATGTTGCCCCCCATTCCACCCTGCCTCCTCCTATCATGCCTGCTCCAGACAATTCTACACCACAACTTTTAAAAACATATTTCTGAGCTTCTGAATTTGGGGCCTGTCTCTCTTGGACAGGACTTGGTTCCTTTCCCTAATTTAACACACTGATATGGGAAAGATGGATAATATGACAAAGTGAGCCCAGGCTCTGAAGTCAAACACTCTCGTGTCTGAGTCCCACTCCAGCACAGCTCCATGACCTTGGGCAAATTACTTCTCTTGAGCCTTAGTTTCAACCCATTTAGAGTCTGTTGGGAGGAGTAACTGTTGTAGCATATGATATATATATTTGCCAATATATACATACGTATGTAGTATAGAATGCTTCTGGAAGGATAAACAACAGACTGGTCACAATGGTTGTCCCCTGGGAGTAGTAAACTGCATGGAAGACGGGTACAAGAGAGACAGGGTCCATTGTATACCCTCTGAACCTTTGAATTTTGTACATATGCATGTGTAACATATTCACAAAATTAAAATTTAAAAAAAAAAGAAGAAGAAATAGAATATGTTTAGTGCCTGATTGTTATTTCCCTTTCATGGACCGGGGAAGGCAAATGGATTTCAACTCTGAGGCCAATTTTATTTTTAACCCTCATGAATAATTTTATTTGTTATCGATGGAACAAAAATCACATCAATATAAATTAAGATCTCTACTAGCCATCGATTAAACTTAAAAATATGAAAGTACAACTAAGATTAAGTTTTGCCTTGCTTTAAAATATTGAAAACTCTGCATCATGTTATCAAGACTGGGAACATTTGGACATTATTTTATGGGCTGTAGTAATATAAGCAGCCATATTGATTTCTCAAGTCTGACAAGATAAAATTCAATATAATGAAAAGGCACTTCTAATAATAAGTCTATAACAAAATCATTAAAATATATTAAACCACAAAATATATTAAGCTTTAATTGCAAAATGAGCAGGCAGTGAAGCATCCAAATGTTCACCAAGAGGAATTGGGTTCCCACATCCCGGCAGTATCCAGCCACTGAGCTGTAATATAATATTTGGCTGGTGTTCCAAGTCTGGTCTTTAATGGTATTTCTGCTCAGCTGCAATTTGTGATTGCCTATACAGATTTTCTCTGTTTTCAAAACAGTCTTGATAGTTTTTAGGTTTTGTTTTATTTTTTTTATTTTTTTTATTTTTTAGCAAAACCAACTAACTAAATCAAGAAAACACAGCTCTGATCTAACACTTCCTTGCCCATTGTTTAACCAAACCTCCTCATCTGATCTCCAAAGCTTTCTGCGATATTGCGGAAACACCTGAAGCACTCTAATGCAGTGAAGGCCCTCACCTGCCCTCGGGGCCTGGCCGGAGACTGCCCGGAGACCAGTTCCATTTGGAATTCTGAGCAGTTATTTGCAACCATCTCCATTCCCAACCTCTTTCAGCCCTCCAGCACACCTCCAGAGTTGCCTCCTAAAGGGCAGGCCCCTCAGGTCACCCACCCTCTCCTGTACTCTCATTCCCATGCATGCATCCTTCCGTCATGCACTTTCCTGGTGTTCTTTCCCTCATTTCAGTTGTTGGAAAACATCACTCCATCTTCACCTCTTCATAGAATGTTCCTTATACCTCCACTCCATTATCCACTCCACTTGGAAATATTTCATCCCTGAAAAACTAGTCAGTCTAACCAATATTTCTTGAGTGCCTGCTCTATGCCAGGCACTGTTCTCAGTGTCTGAGATACAGATGTGAACATGAAGGAGATGCTGCCTTGAGGAGGTTCTCTGCTAATAGCAAGAGACAAGGAGAACCAGAACATGATTCTGAGAGCTTTTAGGAAGAGGGCACTAGAAGGTAGAGTTATAGCGGGCACCTAGGATAGGATGTTGCATCCAGCCAGCACTGTCCAACAGAACTTTCTGTCGTGGTGGAAATGTTCTATATCTGTGCTGTCCAATGTGATAATCACCAGCCACACGTGGCTATTGGGCACTTGAAATGTGGCTAGTGTGACTGAGAAACTGAATTTTTAATTAAATTTAAATTTAAATAGCCACACCTGACTAGTAGCCTATTATACTGGATAGCACATCCTTAGATGATAGAGTTAAGGACAGCCTTTCTGAGGACAGACATTTTTGTTGAGAATGTAACTAACATAGATCTCGGGGAACAGCATCTAAGCTGAAGTGACCGCAAGTTCAAAGGCCCTTAGATGGGAAGAAGCATGAAGTGTTCCTTGGAAAGAGGGAAAGCCAAGTGAGTGCAGCATGTCTAGGCAGGAGTGACATGCAAAGTTTACAACCTGTGCAGCATGGGCACTGACTAATCAGAACAGGTGTCAGTTTTAAGTAAACTGGTACCTCCCAGTAGACTTAACTTTAGACCCTTGTAAGGAGTTTTATTCTGAGAGTAAAGAAGAGATTTGAAGCATCTGAAGGTAAGTGGTAACATGATCTGGTTTGTGTTCTAGAAGATAAACTATATGGGATCAGGGCAGAGGTAGGACAGAGGTGGGAATCCATTGGGAAAATTAGGTAAAAGATGAAAGTGCTTGGATTAGGAGCTACCTTGCAGACAGGGAGAAGTATTCACATTTGGGACATACCTTCGGGGCAAGATCAGTAAGACTTAACTAAGAGATCATCAGATTTGCAGAATGAGGGAAAGAAGAATGAAGAACTGACTGAAATTTTTGACCTGAGCAACCCGTGGTGCCATTTACTGAGAAAGGGAGACCCTGAAAGGAAGTATATTTGGGTAGAAAAATAAATTCTATTTGTTTGATTTGCCTATTAGACATACAAGTAGCAAGATCAAAAAGCAGTTGAATATGCAAATCTAGAGCTCTGAGGAGAGACCTAAGATGGAGACAGAAACGTGGGCATCATCTGCGTACAGCACAGAGATGGCATTTGAAGACTTCTGGCCACTTGGTGGAGGCTGGTCATGCTCCCTCACCCACAGGCAGGATGTGAGAAGCGGGGTCAGCATTCTGCCAGCTTCCCCCTCACTTTCAGATCATTATTCTCCTGCCCTCACAAATTTAGACCTCCTCTAGTAAGGCAGACCAGCCACCAAACATTGTCCAAAGACCTGTACTCACCACTCTGCTGCAACTGACCTGCCAAGTCACTCACCCATATTCACTGAGCGTGTAAGTCCCTGGGCCACTCTCCCCCCAGCCACCAGAGCCCTGCCATCCTCCTGGGGAACGTGAGTGCTCATGGAGATTGTCTCCCCCAGCACGCCAGCCCCACAGCTCAGTGACCTTCGTTTCCTCTTTCTGTAAGAAACAGCGTTCCTGCCCTGATTGCAGAGGGGAAAGTGTACTAAGTGCCTTACAGATGTTTGGTTCCAAAACAGAGAGCGCAAAGGAGCGGGTGGTCAGTTCTTCCTAAGAGAATCAGGAAAGTCGTCGTAGAGGATCTGATACCTCTTAAAAGAAATAGGTTTTTAGCAGGCCCGTGGGAAAACAGGAGGGGTTCAGATCGACACCCTAGGCAGAAGACACTCCGTAAAGGGTTGAGCCCTGTAACCCCCTGATGTAGTTGGCAGTGTGCGGTAGGGGAAGGCTGCAAGCAGCTGACTATGGCTGGAACGTAGGGCTCGAGGAGGAGCATGGCTGCAGAGACGAACAACGGCCAGCTGGACGTTGTCTGGCAGGCAGCAGGGAGCCACCGAAGCAGGAGAGGAACATGGTCAGACAGGAGTTTAGAAGAGTCCGTTTAGCAGCCGAGTAGAGGACGGATCCAAAACAGGTGAGAGGGGAGGCAGGGAGACCAGTTAGGAGGCTCCTGCAGTGACCAGGCAAGCGAGGATGACTGTCTGCGCTAGGGAGCAGGGAAGGGAGGAGGGGCCAGATACCAGGAGCGGTCATTGGGTTGGCAGGGCTTGGTGATTCAATAGACAGGGGAAGGTGGTGGGCAGGGGAACTCAAGAGTGCTGACTTGGTGACTTGGTGATGTCATTCACTGAGCTTGGGAACACCAGAGGAGGGTCAGGTTTGGAAAAACAAACGATGAGCCCTGTTCTGAACAGGGTGAATTTGCGGTATATGCCATGGAACCTATAGGTGCACATGTCTAATAGGCAATGGGATAGATGGCTCAGGCGCCCAGGGTAAAATGCTAAGTGAGAGCTCGGGATCTGGGAGCCATCGGTACGAGTGAACACAGTGTGTGGGAGTAGATGAGTCAGTCACCTGGCACAGGTGGGGGAAGAGTGGAGTGGGAGGAAGAGGGCACGGGAGAGCCACACCTATAGCTGAGGGCCAGCAGAAGGGCTGGGCACGCAGACAGACCCAACAGTCTATCTAGCCAAGGGCAGATTCTCGGGTCAAACACAGACGCACACTTGGCTTAAGTTTGTACATCTCACATCTCACATCTACTGTGACACAGTTGACCTTATTGGAATTAGGCTAATGGAACATCTGGCATTTATATATACATACTCTCACTTCTCTGTCCAAATTTTCTTTCTCCGTGCCTGTATTCACATCCCTTGATCACAGACTCTCAAGGTTAAAAATTCCTTAATGGTCATCCATCCAAACCCTCTAACCAAACCAGTTTACACATTTCCCCAAAAACCATGCCTTGTGCCTGCCCATCTCTGCTCCTGAGGTGTCTTCACACCCACCTTCTTCCTCCAGGTCTAGCTCCAAACCCAGTCACCTCTCCCCACCAGATCCATGCCTTTGTCATTCTCCTCAATGGGCTCATACCGTGTTTCCCTGAAAATGAGACCGGGTCCTATATTAATTTTTGCTCCAAAAGACACATTTTATTCATTTATTCATGTACAAACATCTACATTTATTCAAATACAGTCACATCTGGCTGACGATCTTAACTGGGGCTTATTTTTGGGTAGAGCTTATATTACGAGCACCCTGAAAATCATGCTAGGGCTTATTTTCCAGTTAGGTCTTATTTTCAGGGAAACACAGTATGCATATACTAGTCCACATATTTTGCTGTATAGTGTCATTTTTCCCATTTTATGTTTGTGTCTTATGTCCAACTAGACTGTAATACTAATATTAGCTACCATTTATTGAGCACCTACTATGTGTCAGGTTCCATAAGTGCTTTTTGTTCATTGACTGATTTAGTTGTCACATTAATCCATTTAATAGGTACTATTATTACCCCGTATACCAAAGAGAAAAACGATGCACAGAAAGGTTGTGTAACTTACCAAAAGCCACAGCCGAGGAGTGGCCCAGCTGACATGTACCCTACACAGTCTACCATCAGCCTGCCCAATGGGCAGCTTACAAATTCTTACCAATTTGCATTTTCAGTGCCTAGCACACAACAGATGCTTATTCTTGATGATATTACAAATATAATTTTGTAGGATTTCAGAGTTTGAAGGGACTTTCAAGTTTATCTCATTGAACAGATAAGGAAACAGAACTGATTAACTGCTCCAATCTTTATGGGATTTAACCTGACCAAGATCTCAATACAGAGTGCACAAACCCGGGAGTAGAAATAAGCATATGTGGTGTTGTCAGTCACATGAAAGACCTTCAAACTCTCATGCCGGCTGGATTCACCTGCTCCTGCCCCTTCTCACCAGTCAGCGCATGGCTAAGAGTTTGGGCTCCAGAGTCAGAAACACAAGGGTTGGTTTGAATCCTCAGCTCTGCCCCTTAGGAGCTGGCTGGCCTTGGGGAGGTGCCTTAACCTCTGAACTGCTGGTTCCTCATCTGTACAGTGGAGACAATGAGGTTCTTGTAGTTCAAGCCTCGCAGCTGAATGGAAAGTTAGCAGGGAACCAAGGAACAGGTGTGGGATTTGGAGTCACCTTGGTTTTGAAGCCGGGTGCTGTCTCTTATTGTTCTCTTTGGGCAAGTCACCTCACTCTGTGACCCTCAGCTTTCTCCTCTTTAAAACAGGGATAATACAGCTCACCCGGAATGTTTGCTGTGAGGCGCAAAAGAAGTTCAACTTGTAAAAACACTACAACTCCACAGGTGTTAGCTCTGATGAGTTTTTATCTTATTGTTATAAAGCCACGAGGTGACATTCCTAACCCATTACACACTTTCCATCCTCACAATGCTTATGTCTATGAAAATATACCAAGAAAAATGATGATAAGTGTATTTTTTTTTCCAGGTGTCCGTATTTCTAAAGGACAGAGTTCAGAATTCTAATGGCCGCTTTGTGCTGCCAGTGTCCGGGCCTGTTCCCTGGGGAACTGAAGTCCCTGGACTCATCAGGTGAATTCTCACAGTAATTCTCAGGCCAGTGTTTGGGGTGCCGGGAAACCAATATGTGGGCCACCACATAGATTGCAGCACACTGGGCCCCTCTCTTTCTTCAGTAAAGCACAGCAGTTAGGAGGTCAGGTTCTAATCCCAGCTCTGCCATATAGCAGACACTTGGCAGCAAACCCCCAAGTTTCCTGGGATTCATTTCCTCTTGGTTACTGTGAGGACAAATAAGCTAATGTAATAATGCTCGAAAGCGCTTACACAGCACCCGGTACATGCCATGTACTCAATAAATATTATTATTGTTGTATCATTATTATTACCACAGCCAGCATCTTTATCTTGAAGGAGTGCTTGAATTCCTCTTTGTCCCATAGTACAAAGAATAAAGACGCCTCCAGGACTCCCTGAGCTTGGAGAACAGTCCATCATGTCATACTTTGCATTGTAGAATGTTCAACACCAAAGGCGATGAAGTGAAGAGGGTCGAATTCCAGCATGGCGGAAACTATGTCGCGGCAACGAAAGAAGGTTCTTTTGAATTGTATGGAGACCGAGTCCTGAAACTGGGAACTAATATGTAAGCAAACTCTCCTTCCCTAAATGAGTCCAAGTCGAAGAGAAGTCCCTTCATTTAAAAACCCAGCTTGTGACTTCTGCTGTGAAAATCCCTGCTGACAAGGAGGGTGTTTGCCCCTTAGAAACAATGCATGCAGAGCTCTGCCGTATTCAAAAGGCTCCTAAGATTCCCAAACATGAGATAACTCAACACGTTTAAAAGAAATGATATTAAGTGGCCATGGAGATCCAGAAAGCCTTGGCCTTCAGGTGCGGCTCACATTTTTTCAGCGATCCACATAACTCTGCAAGCGGAGGCCCCTCCACACAGCTTCCCGGGGATTTTTCTCTGGGAAGAGGTGAAATCTGAGTGGTTGACACTCAGTTGTATTCTGTACTCCCAGCACCTTTCTAGATGCTTTTAAACGTCTCAAAATAAAAGCTGTGAGCGATGTTTACGGGTTGGAAGGAAGTCCATGTAAAGGGCTGTACAATGTTGTCGCGGCATTCTATTGACACCAGGTACAGTGTGAACAGGCCTGTGGAAACCCATATGTCTGGACCATCCAAGAACTTAGCTTCACAGACACAGGTGAGCTTCTGTCCCCCTTCTTTATCTTGTGAGCTTAATTCTAGATACAGAAATCTGGCTGGGGAGAAGGGTGGGAACTCTAGATTTGAAAGCTAGCCAATGTTTCTCTCGTTGTTTGCAATCTTCTCGATTCAGCCTTACAAATACACAGGTTTTTAATTGTAGTTTCTCATGGAGACTTCCAGCGATCTGACTAATTAGGTAATTTTAGGCTTGGCTCAATCACCATAATTAAATGGGAACCACACACCAGGACATGTGAAATTAGCATCATGCTAGTGCTATTAGTTCCACGGTTGTTAAGTTCAGCACCTGTGCATATTCTGATCATGAAAACACCCCTTTTCAATGCTTCCCTATATAATGATGTGGTAGCTAAGTTCAAATGGGGTTTTAGGGTCTCTGAATTCCACTTTTACCAATTTTCACTGAACTAGCTACCAGCTAGCTATGGGACAAATCATGGAATATTCAGTTATTCAGCAAACATTTGTCGAACTATTTCTATGGGCTGGGTACCCAGGGACACAAAGCTGGCTTAGGCGTGGTCCCGCCCTGAAGGGATCTGTGGTGCTCTGGGAAAGACAACTGTAGAAACAAGTAGCTATAGCACATGGAAGAAAGGCCCGCTGGGTATTCTGAACAAAGCACTGTGTTCTGTCCAGTGGGGTGAGGGCGGGGGCAGGGATCAGGAAGGCTTTTCAGAGGGGGTGACATTCAAGTGGAGTTCCAGAGTGGTAAGACACTAAACAGCTGCGTTGAAGAAATGGGCGTGCAGACCAAGGTGACAGTTTGAGCAAAGGCGCCAAGGGGCAGAAGAGCATAGTGTTTGGGGGAGACAGGGAGGCGGCGTCTCTCCCACATGGCTAGATCATGGCCCAGTTGAGGCGGGCGGCAAGTGATTCGACTGTACAGGGGCACTGGGGCCCGATTAGGAAGGGGCTTAAACAATCTGGACTTCGTCCTCCAGGCAGGAGGCACAGGGGTTTGTTTCAAGCATGGGGAAGGTGGGATGAGGACCCTACTTTAAATGACTCTGGCAGCAGAGTGATGGAAGAGGCGGAGCAGGGGAAGGTGGGACTCGAGGGAGCCATGTTGGGACAAGGGGAGAACGTTGAAGTGGACAGGACAGTGTGAGGAGGAAATGGATTCAGGTGTGTGTTCATGATGGTCACCACATGAGGGCAGTGTGGTAGCTCCTACAGAGTGAGTGCCCTTGGACTTGGAGCCTTTAACTGAGGCTGCTTGTAAAAATGCTGAGAATGCTGAGGGAACCAGACGGCCTGAAGAGGAAGCAGTGTTCTGCTTCAAGGAGGAAGGTAGTTTGAGGGCAACAGAGATCCCTGGGGCCTTCCACTCATCTTGAAAGTGTGAAATCTCTGGTTTGCTGACTTGCTAAGAGTCCCTCTGCTTCTAACCAGATGGTTTCTCTTTGGGGTAAGCCTGTTTTCTAGGCTTTATTTGGTCCCAGTTCTTCCCAGAAATAACTTAGATTTATTTTATAATACCACCCTGGGTCTCTGGGTCTCAGCAGGACATAGGATCACCTTCACTGTGGCTAAAAATCATGAAATTGTTTCTGCAGCAAAGCATTGCTCCAAACCCTCTTGCTAAAGAAGAGCTGAATTTCTTGGCCAGGCTGATGGGAGGAATGGAGATTAAGAAACCCGGTGGCCCTGAGCCAGGATTCCGGTTGAATCTCTTTACCACCGATGAAGAGGAGGAGTATGTTTTAAACTTGTTTCTTTAAAAACATGTATAAAAATCCTAAGTATGATAAACCCCCAAAAAAAGGGGGTGGGCGGGCATGATAAACCAGTGACACTTATAAATACAGCTGTAAAGATCACAAATGACATATCAGCAAATTCAATTACCTAGTTAAGGAAGAATCCACCAGTGTTAGATAGCCGGAACCTTCTGGATTCATTCAAAAAATAGTTCTAATGGTTTACTTAGCACAGCACAGCTGAACAAGAAGTATTGGAAGTCACGATAATCATATTAAGAAAAGTCTGTTAAGAAACCAGAGGGAGTTTGGAGCATGATGTCTTTGGGATTAGACAGCCTCCCCCAAAACCAGTAGCGGTAGTCATTCACTGAGATTTATACAGTGCTTCACGGTATATAGAGCACTTTTGCATTCATTATCTCGTGTGATCGTCCTCACAACCAAATATTTGGGGTGGGGGTTGCCGTCTATTTTCCTGTCCATTGAGCTAACTTCTTTTGTGCACTTCTGTGTGGCAGGTACCATGGTAAGTGCTGGGGACACAAAGATGGAGTATGTAACCTAGAGCCTGTCCTCAGGAGCCCCCACACAGTAGAAAATGAACATGTACATAAGTAAATGCTCTAATGGAAGACACAGTGATGACTTTGTACCGGCAGACTGAAGGAGCTGGCATCTGAGCTGGGTCTTGGGGTTTGCCAAGCAGAGGAAGGGGAAGCATTCTTGGCGGAGTTTAGTATGTGCAAAGGCACAGAGATGTCACAGGACTTGACTTTCTGGAGTGTAGGGTGCCTTGGCTGGGGATGGGGTAGAAAGCTGAAGGGAAATGACAGAAGATGAGGCAGAAAAAAATAAAAATAGGTTGCCAAATTATCAAGTGCCAATTTGCCACGCTGGAGAGAACCCTAACCTTTGCCCCATTTCTCTACCTTCTTATGCAGACAAGCAGCATTGAGGAGGCCAGAAGAATTATCCTATGAAGTTGTCAACATACAAGCTACTCAGGTGTGTGCAAAGGATCGCACAAGTCAGATCTTATTCCCCTCTTCATCTTGTCATAACCTTGAACTTCAAAGGCCCTCCCTTCTCTCTAATCAGCATGTGACTATAGCCCCTACCTATCCTGACAAACAGGTGAGGCACGGAAAGGCATCACAGTGGTGGGATGAAAACTGAAGACCACCTGCACCTCTCATTTCTCCAACAGGACCAGCAAAGGAACGAAGAGCTGGCTCGGATCATGGGGGAGTTCGAGATCACGGACCAGCCAAGGTGGAGCGCCAGCAAGGGCGATGATTTGCTGGCCATGATGGACGAGTTATAGCTGTGTGGACCAGGCACACCCCTCCCGCCCCAGGAGAGGCTGCCGAATGAGGACCCCAGGGGATCCCCAGGGAGCAAAAGGATGCTGCTCGCTTTCTACTGAGTTGAAGCCGTTACCTCTTGTTCCTGTTTATGTTGTAATGAACTGTGCAAGTCTCTCTCAGGGAGCACACTCCCTGGAAGGCATACACGTACACATTTTTTCAGCAAAATATATGCTAGCTTTTAAATTAGACCTTTCCCATTTTCCTTCTGGTTTTATGGCAACCATGCAAAGCATCCCGGGCCACAGGTTCAAGCCCCAGAGTCAGTAAGGGGGCACGCCCATTGCCGCTTCCGTTGACAGCTTTCCTGTGGGGACCTACAGCTCACAGATGCGCGCAAATCAGCGCAAAGCTTCAGAGCCCTCCAGGATGTATTCTGCCTTGTAAGTGAGTTTGAAATAAGTGGAAAAGGCAGTTGCCTCAAACAGTTGGGGCCCTGTTTAGACAGCCCTCCTCTCCCTGGCACACTGGGAACTGTAACCTCAGAGGCAGAGGAAGCAAGGCTGTGACGGGAACACTCAGCTGGGTCCCACGCAGAGCATGTGGGTATCTGGAGTTCTCTGTACATCTCTCCACCCATATGCAGTGTGGGTTTATCCCATATGGAGATGCGTACCAAGGAAATAGCTGGCTTTCCAGCATGCTGTGTACTTCTCGCCCCCCAGGTCTTCCTCTGCCACTTAGTGTTCTTGCCTTCTAAAGACACCCAGCGTGATGTGCCAGGACATTTCTCTCCTCTGCTTCGCCATCCGTGGCCAAGCAGAGCCTTAAGTTGGATGCACGGGAGGCACTCATGGCGTGCCATTTTCCCTTCTGTGTACCAGATGAGTGGCTTCCCTGGGCGCAGTGCCAAGTCTAATTGGGATCCATGTAAAAAAATATGTCAGACCACGGCTGCCCTAATTGTTTCAGGAAGGCGCGTCAGCCTGGGACTGAGTAACTGGCGGGCTTGGGGCCAACCAACATCCAGAGGTAAAGGTCCATTCAGTCCTATGGAAGAAATATCCAGAATGGCAGAGGGTAGGAGAGAAACTGAGCTGAGCTGGCCATTGCCTGAGATCGGACCCACCACAGGGATCACTTGGGCCTCTCACACCACCCTGGCAAGAGTAGAGGCAAACACAGTTCTAGAATGTGAGGGCCAGGGAAGCTGTCCTTCAGCTTGCCGAGGCATAAGGTTTGGCTACAAAAAGGTAAATCACCAAATAAATTTAAGTTGCTTCCTGCCCATGAAAGTTACACTTCTTTACCTACAAAGACTCCCCAAGAGGCCCGTTGGGGAGAAGAGGCATATCTTGCTATGAAATGCCTATTATAGGCTTGCAAAGTGCCTTCTGTTTTAGTCTCTTTTCAGCAACCTGGCCACCAGTTGGGGTGGCCTGACTGGGTGACAGATGAAGGGGAAGGTTCTGACCTGTTCCGAGTCTGGCTCCCACCACACTGCCACAAATCTGAACTTCACCTCTGCTCCGAGCACGTCCTGGAGCCTTGGAGGTGGGCCATGAGCTGCCGAGAAGCAGCAGAGTCCTCCCTCCACCTATCCCAGAGCAATGCTGAGGATTCCAACTGTATCTGTCCTCTCTGTAAATAAACAAGATACAGATCTCTGGTAAGGCGGCCTTATGATGAGGCAATCTTTGGGTTTCATGTCTCTAGACTTGCACAAATACTGAGAAAAACAAGTTTATTTGCATGGTGGTTCAGGGCATCCAGAAAAAGCAGGGGAGTGAGGAGGAGGCAAAGAAAAAAGAAGATAGGGAATACTCTGGTGAGTTACACGGACTGGGTACGAACAGCGCATCAGTGTTCACTTAAAACCAGGCCACAGGGTATGAGGCCACATTAGTGCTCAGTGCGCTTTACAGGGAGGCGTGCTGCAGTCAGAACCAGGCACTGGGTTCTGGTCCCATCCCTGCCCCAAATTCACCATGGTGTCTTGGGGAGTTGCCCTCACCAAGCCCTAGTTCCCTCATCTGTAAGAAAGAGAAAGAACTAGTTCACTGGCTCAAAGCCAGCTTGCCTACACAAGTTGTTGAGTTGACAGTTTTCTAGGCCCTGCCCCAGGTGGGACCAGAGAACTGGTATTTTCACCCATGCTGCCCCCGGTTGCATGCTTTGGGGGTATATCTGCTCTCTTTCAGCTCTTCTGTGACTAATCTCAACTAAGTTTCAAATTGTCCCACTCTTATCAGTGTTAGAATGCTCTACAGATCATGTAAGGCAAAGCTCTAGAAAAGCCTTGTGAACGAAAGTATTTTCATGTCTCCCAGAAGAAAGATACAATAAAAATTGAGAGTGAAGAGGGAGAAAAAAAGGGGAAAGGCACCCCGCGTAGTCTGCATAAGTATCTAACAATTTTTAAAGGCAAACTCACTTTTTCCCTTGGATCCATATCCTGGTAGGCAAGAAACAAACACACTCTGGTTTACATCCAGTATGGAGACCAAGTCAAGCCACAGGAAACCATAGAAAGAGAGATGTAAATATTAGAAAATGTATTTATCATAATACTTAATCATAAATACCCAAATTAAAATCTGAAAATTAATACAACCTTCACCTACCCCCTTACTGCCTTTAAATGCTGCCCTGGATTACTCCTCTTTAGCTGCTAAATTCCTGGACAGCTGACCACAGAGGGAGTTAAAGGAAGTGTTCACAGGGATTGGGCCAGGGAACCCCTTCACAGCTTCATGATTTGGTGTAAACCCTCAGATCATAATTTAGCCCTTTTCAAAATGAGAATGTCAAGGTGCATTCCAAGAGCTAATGGGAATTAATTGTGAATTTCTTGATTACCTTAATACTTCTCCCTTACATACCTCCCCCCTCCCCCCAACACCCAACACACACACACACACACACACACACACACACACTACATTCTTTTTGTTTCTGGCCAGTGGTCTCCGTCAACTCCCAAAACTACCTGAAACCCCCATTGGCCTGGTGAGGCCACACCACTAGCACAGCCCCAGAAGAGCTGGGGGCAGAACCTAGGACTCCTAAATCCTAGACATGCACATTAGCCTCAGATTATGGCAAATAATCCGTTGGTGATGGTCTCCATTGTAAGGAAGTTTTTGGTAAACTCTACCCATCACTTCCAGTTCTTTTCAATGGAAAGCTGTTCTGTTTTGTATTGAAGTTTCTTCCATGCGTTTTGAAAGTGAAATAAATGTACTAAATGAAAATGACATCAGAGCAGTGGTGAGGGCGTGGGGAAGCATGGGGTGAGGGGGCAAAAAAATAAAATAAAAATGACGTTAGTGTTAGACGCTGAAATGTGAGGCGGCGTGGAACATCTCAGGGAAAGTGCCCTCCTTTCTCTTTATGAAACTCCCTGGCTTCTGAAACTTTGGGGCCAATGTTTTTTTCCAGGTTTTCAAGGGGAAGTCATGGTGTCAGCCCAGGCCATTTGACTCATGTTCTGAATATCCTAAAGACCTCTCAGCATTGGTGACAATTGCAGAAATAATACTGATTCTGTATTCTCTCCCTCATCTCTCCTCTCTACCTCAGCTTATCTTTGCTCTATACCCTTCCTCCCCTCAGTCGCACCCAGCCTTCTTTCTGCACCTCAGGTATTTATCCACATGACTGCTGAGGTGCTCCTTTCCTATCCAAACCGCCCTCACCCACCCCTTTGGCCTCTGCCCCTCCAGAAGCTCCCTCCCTCCATCTTAATCCATCTGGCTGCTCATACATCCCTCTCTGTTCGCCAGCACTGCAGGATTCCTTGCTGCCTCACTTTCCCTCCCTCACACACCCCCGATAGCTCCTTTCACTACACAGATTCCAATCCTCATGTCTCCGGGGCCCAACTTTGCTAGATCCAACAGCCTTTTCTCCTCCCCATTCTCCTTGGCTTTTTGAAAGCCCTCAACTCTGCCACACACCCTTATCTTCCTAAACCTCTCTCACCCTTGAGCCCTGGTGACTCTAATCACACTACTTGCTGACTACACTTCCCCTCTCTTCCCCAGTGGCTTCTGGTTGAGGATTGCCCTGTATGATACAGGTGTTGATGCAGCTAGCCATTTTTAAAAGTCTGTCAAAATGACCAGGTCATTTGTCAGATGACCCTTATCTCATCCCTAGCATTTTTCATTCCTCACCCTGATCTCATCTCTCACTCCATTTCTCCTCTCACTCTGTTCCTTAATCTGACATGCCCCCCCCCCACCAAATGTTTTATGTGCCCCTGGTGCTTAGTTTGCATTCTTCTGCAAATGGTTTTGCACAGCTTTCTTTTTTTCAGAGAGGCCATGACTTTCACCTATTACTATGGGCTGCAGATCTCTGAGTTCCCCCTCACCTGGGCTGCAGGCTCACTTTCTCTGACATGTCCCACGCCATCTCACATTTCATTGTCTAACACTGATGTCATTTTTATTTATCTAGTACGTTTATTTCACTTTCAAAAAGCATTGAAGAAACTTTAAATACAATACAAAACAGGACAGTTTTCCATTGAAAAGAACTGGAAGTGTTGGGTAGAGATTACCAAAAACTTCCTTACAATGGAGACCATCACCAACAAAGAAGTCAGTTGCTGTTCACTGGAGTGAGTCAGGCAGCAGTTAGGGGATCATCTGCTGGTGTCATAGAGGGGACTTGGGCACTGGGTGGTAAGTTGAAGAAGGTGACCTAGGAATCACCTTAACTGTCAGGATTCTGTGATCCCCTGACAATTGGAAACAGAAGCACAACAGAGCTCTCTCTCTAAAGGGAACAGAGAAATTCAAGGCTCCTGAAATGAATTTAATTCGAGTGGGCCTTGTACTAGTCTGGGTTGTTGGTTGCCAAAAGTTGGAACCGATTCTGGCTACTTAAGTAGAGAAGGAATTTACTGAAAGGGAATCAGGGAACTCAGAGTTGTGGGGCAGACTGGAGAACCATGAGAAAATGACCAGGAACCAGGGAGGTTAGTCAGTATAGGAGAGGAACTCTAGCACCAGCAGCACCCTCAGGATGAGGCACTGGGTGACGCAGATGTGAGCACAGAGCCTAAACAGTTCCTGCTGGTTTGGACCGCATGCTCCAGATTTAAAATCTGATAATGCCTGAGTTTAGGTCACCTGCTGTAGTTGACAAGGATCAGAGACAATATCTGACCTTTAAATAATCTGTAGTGGCAAGCAGAACTTCACCTGCCACCGAAATTCATAGAATGTCAGATTTCCCCAAACATGGGGAAAGGAGTTCAGTGGCTGAATAGCCAAAAAATGAGATTTTCTCCACAGGCATGACCCCCACCCCACCCCATCCTTCTTATTCCTATCAATGGGCCATCATCGCAACATTTAAATAATTGATTCCTCATCCTCCTACCCACACTCCAGATTTATTCAGACTCCAAGGATTCTAATTAACTGTTTTCCAAATTGTCAAGCTCATTTCCACCAAGTCCTTCGCACTAATGGTTTCCTCTAATTGCAATGCTCCTCTCCTAGTTTTCACAAGGTTGACTTTGTCATTCACCTCAGCTCAAATGTCAATTTATTATGACATCCCTGACCATTCAATAACAGGCCACCCAGTCACTATCACATCACCCTATTTTAATTATCTGAAGAATTTTTATCATAATTTTCTTGTTTTCTTGTACAACACCCCCCCCCGGGAGATTTATGGGTCATCAAGTCTGAGAGCTTGTCTCCTTGGTCACAGCTATGTCCAGAGCCTGGGAAGGGGCCTGATACATAGTGAAGGGTCAATGAATATTTGTTGAATGAATGAATGACTCCAATGAAGGAGAGAATCCAATGACATTTGCCGCGGATTGCAAGAGCGCGAGCGCGACGCTCGCAAGGCATTCTGGGGATTGTAGTTCGGCCTCGCCCCGCGGTGGCGCGGGCCTGCGAACTGAGCGCTCTCTGTGCCCCGGAAGGACAGAGCGGCGCCGTCGTTGCTATGGCTTTTCGGTCTCGCCGCTGGAGGGAAGCCTCCCAGCTAGGCGCCCGCTAGCTCTGGAGGCGACGCGGACCGGGAAGTGGAAAGAATCCGGCGTGGTGGGTCCGGGGACCCCGGGGCGGAGCGTGAGGAGACCGGAACCCCAAAGGACCGCGCGAGCAGCGGAAGCGTTTATCTCACGATTTGCTGAGTGTAGCTCATCTCCCCCAACCCACTCCCACGGCTCTGTGAGTAAAGGCTCGTCACCATCCTCACTTTACCGATAGGCAAACTGGCTTGAAGAAGCTACGTGGCTTGCTCGAGGTCTCCCTCCCAGGAAGTGACAGAGCCCGCCTTAGAGCCCAGGTCTGCCTCTTTGCAGTCATGGTGCGGCCCCAAACGTCTGCTTGGGCACATACTTTTGGTGAAGCCTGGTGGGGTCGTTAGACCCTTCCAGCCCAGCTCCTAGCTTCCCTTATCAGCTTGGGCTGGCTTGCCACACTTAATGTCACCCTGCTCAGCCCTGTGGGGGGATTCTGAGTGAAGTCTTAAAGAAAATTCTACCGCCTTCCACTCATAGTCCGAAAAAAAGGGATAGATAAGACAAAGTTACATTAATATCAGGGCATGTTGAAAGCAAAGGAAAGTACATTTAACGTGGTGAGATTTCGTTAGCCTTATTTAGCCTATGGTTTAATAGATGTGGAAACAGGTTCAGAGACATTGAGTAACTAACTGCCCTAGGTTTACAGAGCTTGTGGGTGGAGCGGAAATTCCAACCTAGGTTTCTCTACCTTCAAAATCTGTGTGCTTTATATATCACTTTCTTGTTTTTTCAGTTAATGACCTACATTTCTACTTATATGGCGGCTGCCTTGTGTCGATAGACCAGTCGTTCTCAGTGGGCCCCAGACCAACATAATCAGCACCAACTGAGAACATGTTAGAAATGCACAGACCCACTGAGTTAGAAACTGGGAATGGGGCCCAGTAATTCGATTTAACAAGTCCTCCAGGTGATTCTGATGCACACTAATGTTTGAGAGCTGCTGGTGATTCACCTAGGCAGCAGTTCTCAACCTTTCACAGGGGTCGCCTAAGACCATCGGAAAACACAGATTTTCAATGGTCTTAGCAACTGAGACACCGCTCTTCTATCCGTCTCCAGGCGCACATGCAGATACGCCCACATACGAGGACCCGGCGACCCCTGTGAAAGGGTCGTTCGACCCCCAAAGGGGTCGCGACCCACAGGTTGAGAACCGCTGACCTAGGGGGTCATGTTAAAATGCAGATTCTTTCAGAAGGTGCTGGGAGGGCCTGGGGATTCTGCATCTCTAACAAATGCCTGAGTGATGCTGAAACTGCTGGTCCATGGATCATACTTTAAGTAGCAAGGGTATAAACTACACCTTAGAGCAGTGGTTCTCAAGCTTGTATACGTTAGAATTAACTGAGGAGCTTTTGAAACATAGGATACCTGGGGCCCCACCCCTGACCAAATGAATCAGAACCTCTGGGGTGTGACCAGCAGGTAAAAACCCACCAGGTAATTCTAACATACAGTGTGGAGTTTGGAGGAGGGAAGCCATGGATTTTAATCCCAGCAACTCCACTTAACTGTGTGAGCTTGGGCAAGTGACTTAACCTCTCCTGGCCATATTTTCCTTGTTTATAAAATAAGTATAAGTAATCCTTGGCTTACAAGGTTGTGTAAGGGTTTTATGAGGTGTGTATATGCACTGGCTCCCACCGGTGCTCCACAGACTCAAAAACGGGGGAGGTGGGCAGACCAGGGGAAGTCTGTGCTGGGGATTTTGTGCTAGAACCTGGTGGAGGTGAGTTAGCAACTGCACCCCCTAGCCTGCTATAGCTCTCATCTGTGTGCTCCTCCCACAAGCAGCCAGCAGTGTGGAAAAATGGCAGTGAGCCACTCGGTGAAGGAGCGGACCATCTCGGAGAACAGCCTGATCATCCTGCTGCAGGGCCTCCAGGGCCAGGTAACCACTGTGGACCTGCGGGATGAGAGCGTGGCCCACGGACGCATAGACAACGTCGATGCTTTCATGAACATCCGCCTGGCCAAGGTCACCTACACGGACCGTTGGGGGCACCAGGCCGAGCTGGATGACCTCTTCGTAACCGGCCGGAACGTCCGTTATGTCCACATCCCAGATGACGTGAACATCACCGAGACCATTGAGCAGCAGCTGCAGGTCATCCATCGGGTACGCAACTTTGGCAGCAAGGGTCAAGGCCGGCGGGAATTTCCCACCAAAAAGCGTAAATGAGTTTGTCCCTTCAGCAAGCTCCAGTCCTCACTCAGGTTCCTTCACAGTTCTACTGAGCCAACAACTGCCTGCTGTCCCTCCCTGCCCAGAACCTGGGAAGGGAGCAGGGCCAGCCCAGAAACTGGTGTCTGACAGACCACACCTGTCACAGTTGCCTTTCACAGGGTTTCACCTCCCAGATTCATCCTGGGACCCAGAATCCTATTTACCTGTGGCCTTGGGGTAGATGACAATCCCCCTTTTGATCATTTGCATCTGAATCTCTGATTTACTGATTTAGGGAATCTGTCAAATAGTTTTCAACCCTCACCCGGTGAGGCTTATTAAATGTGCTGGGCCTCAGCCACCCCTAAATGTCCCCATTTCTCTTGCAATTGTGTTTGTTTTCTCATAAAACTAAACGTGGACACAAACAAGTCCATGCCTTGTGCTTTCCGTGATGAGCATGGGTTCTCTGTTGGTCCTGTGTCCTAGGGTGCTGGGTCTCAAACTTGGCTGCACATTGGACTCACGTGTCTCACACTCACCTATTCAGATTTCGCTGGTATGGGGTATGGCCTGGGCATTGGATTTTTGTAAGTTTCTCACGTAATACTGATATGCAGCAAAGTTGGAGAAGTGTAGGAGAGTCTTTCAGTCTGGTCAGGTGAAAAGAGGCTTTTCTGTGCAGATTCCCTGCTGAGGAGGCTGTTAGTCTCATTGCTCTTTCCTCACGTGGAGAGGTTGGAGTAATCCTGGCCCTCCTCTCAAGTGTGGGAGCTCCTCCAACAGCAAGAAATCAGGCTCCAGTGCTGAGAGTCATTGGGTCCTCAGGGAAGAAGAGATTCTGGGGGTTAGAACCCAAGTCTTCGTTGTCACTGCCTTGTAGCCAGACCAGCCCTGCCATAGGCAAACCACCATCTCAGTAAAAGCGGCTCTGTCCTATGGAACCAGAGGGTTTGTCTTCATCAAACAAACATCCACAGAGCAGCTGCCTTGTGCTCGGCCTTCTGCTGGGCACACACTGACAATAAGATTTGCTCCCTTCTGGAGAGGAGCTTCTAATCTAGTGGAAGAGGTGGTCGAGAACCACAAAAATGAGATCCAGCCAGAGAACTGCTGTGCCAGAGTTGTGAATAAGGCAGGGCCCCTTCACCTTAAGGTACTGTCATTTCTTGAGGGAGATTTGAGAGGAATATTCACTGGGGCACTAGCAGCCCAAGGTCATTGCATTTACGTTCCAGCACAGTCTTTGTCAAAGTGTTGTCCTTGGACTACCTTATGAGAACCAATTGGGGTATGTCTAGAAAAGCCACTTTCCTGGCCCCCTTTCCCGAGACTTGAACCGGAATCGAGCCGGGACTCTGCATTATTAATTTAAATTTAAACTGAGAAGGAGCCTGCTGTTTAAAGAGCCAAAGGATGGCAGAGGAAACCTCCAGTGCAAAGGTCCTAAGGCAGGCAAGCTTGGGGGTTTGGGACAATAACAAGAATACCGTTGCAACTATTGAGGCAGGAGAAATGGGAGAGGAGTGGGGCAGATGATACAAAGACCTTGTGGGTAAGGAGTGTAGCTGGTTCCAATTCTGGTGTGTAAGAAATATACTAACTTGAATTTTCTCTAATTCAAGTGAATTCATGTTTTGCCTCACTCGATCAGTGTCAGAAACTTAATTGCAGTCCATTCAAAGTTACCCCACTTTCCTTGGAATTGTTTGAATTCTAGGGTACTTCCTTTCAAGGTACCAATGCGTGGGAAGGGTAGTCTAACCTGGTGGTCATTCAGTCACATCAGCATCCACTGACACATCCTCATTTTGTTTTGGCCTTTTGTCATCTATCTACTCAGATTGCACAGGTCCATGAGGGTTTTGTTCTGGTGTTTTGTCATCAGCCCACTCAGGTTGCTGCTGAGTTGCTCTTCTCTGACCAAAGACCTCCTGACCTCCCCTTCAAGTGTAACCCATACCCCTCTCAGTGTTCAGATTTTCGCTCTTCTTTTCCCAGGCCAGTCAGGCCCAGCTTCTTAGGGTCTTCGGTTAGTTAGGCCCTGTTTGCCCAAATGCAGCACACAGCTGTTTCTTCACAGGGTTTTGTTACTTCTTGGCATTCCCCCAGGAAAAAGGAGCACAACTCTGCCTGCTTTCCACTCTCTGAGACCCAGCTGATGCCCTCCAGCTACACCTGGATATACAGGCTGAAAAGAAGCTTCTCTCTTCTCAGGGACCACCCCCAAAGTCAGCCTCCCAGATCCCCATCTTACACAGTTTTCTAAATTTGTATCTGCTCAGAAATTCTTTCCATTCCTCCCTGAAGGCTAGGCCTTTGGAATTCAGAAGCTAAAAATGAACTGTGCACTCTGTTGTATCATTTATTTCCTGACGTAAGGAATGCAGAGTAACCTAGCTATCTGCATAAAGGAAAGGCCGAGGGACACCAAGGAAGAGATAAACAAACAAACAAACAAACAAACATAAAACATTGCAAATGTCATCAGCCCTTTGGAGATTGGGTTTCGTGCTACTCATGGTATGGCCTTTATTCAAGCCCATACATAAAGCAGTATGGGGGTCCTAGGTGATGACTGAGCCCTCAGGAATTGTGACTGCTCAGGTAGTGTGGCATGTCCCCTCTTTCCCTGCCTGTTCCTGGAGAGAAGAGTACAGGGTTCTCTGTCTCTGATTTGCAGGAGGAGACTATCAGGGCTCTGAGGAGCGCTGGGTAGGCATGCAACTTGAAGTTCTCATCTCCCTGGGCTCCATACAAGTGACACAGCATCTCCACCTCTCAGCTGGTTGGGACTTGAAGGGACTTGAAGGAGAACATCCAGTTCAGTGAGTTCCAGTCTGGCATCCCTGCCTGAAAGAAAGATCCCTGAGGGCAGTAAGGGGTCCCTTGAGTTCTTATCAATGTTCCAGAAGGACCTAGAGAAACAGCACATAGTATGTGAAGGGTAACCAAGCTGGCTTGGTCTCTGCTTTGGGCTGTAATTATACCGGCAGGATGGTGGTCATACTGGCTTACTCTTCCTGATCACAAGTTCTAATGGCTATGATACGACGCTGTGATCAATAAAAAGGGAGAAATTACTTGATGCAGGTTGTACAGGAGACAAAATCTTACCAAATGTGAGGCTTGTGTAGAGGGAAAATACTAAAAGAAGCTTTGACCATGAGATGGTTGGGAACCACTTATCCAGTCCAACGCTGTCATTTTACACATTTTACAGCTGCGGAAATGCCATTTCCTCAGGGGGAAGGGAAAGGGGTTTTCCTCAGGTCCCATGATTAAGTTAATGGCAGAATACCAAGATGGTCATCATAAGTAGCTACCGCTTGTTGAATCTCACTGCGTGCCCTGTGCCAGGGCCCCAGGTGCTGCAGGAGGACAGAGCTTTAGTCTGTTTGGTCCCATTGGATCTCTAGCATCTAGCCCAGTGCTCTGCACATAGCAGGCACTCCATAAATCTTTGCAGAATAAAAGAATCATCTCATTTTATCATTGCAACAATGGTATATATTAATAGCCCCATTTTACAGATGAGCAAACAGATCCAGAGAGGTTAGTGACTTGCTCAAGGTTGAAGAGCCAGTGAACAGCAGAGTGGGGATATAAACTCAGGTCTGTATGACTCCCAACTCCATGATACTACACTACAGTATTCTGCTACCCAGCACTCCTAACACCACATGATGACAGAGTAAAATAAAGCGGTGCCCTGCTTATCTCAATGGTGGTACCCCATCACCAGGTGTGGGCCTGGCACTCAAAACTTGCCATACACAGGTCTTGGGGCTTGGCCACAAAGAGAAGCCAGAAGTCAGCCAATAAGAAGGATTTGCTGGGTTTTAGATACCTGAGGAGCTTTTTGGGGTTGAAGGCCTCCTCCTGTGATGGGCAGACCTGCCTATACCTCGTCAAGCAACCATCTCATGCTGTTGTGACAGGCGTCACTTTGTTATGGCAGCGCCATCTGCCAATATGCCCAGAGTTAGAGAGCCAGCAGGAGAGTATGTCATTGTGTGTGTGCGTGTGTGCGTGTGTGCGTGTGTGCGTGTGTGAGAGAGAGAGAGAGAGAGAGAGAGAGAGAGAGAGAAAAAGAGAGAATAGTTGCATGTTGGTGTCCTGATGAGTTTTTCATTTCCTCTGGCTGGCACCTTTAGTTTCTCTTCATTACCTATTCTCCCCTCTTTCTCTTCCTCCTCCTCTCCTTTGTTAAAATCCTATATTTTGAATCAGCTGAGAGTCTCCTGGGGATGGGGATGGTGTTGTCAGCTCCTAGTGATTCATCTAGCTGATAATTAGAACTCTGGAAAACCCAAAACTTATTTCTGTCAGAGTCAGGGCTTCCGGAATCCCTAGGCTTTTCCCTTTGTCAGAGAGGAGAGCTTGGGGGACACGAGCCTGGCTTCTTTGTGCCTGACTTTCTGTCATCCACTTCATCCGAGCTCTGTAACTGAGGTTAAGTATGAGCACTCTTACCCACCAGGTCCTGTGAGAAGCTGTTACCACACTCACTGAATCACAGGATCCCACGAAGTGTTATCCCTCTTTTGACAGCAAGAGAAGGTTAAGGAACTTACACCAAGTCACTCAGTTTGTAAGGAATGCAGTAAGAATTCAAATCCAACCACTTCAGAATCTGCCAGAGTTGGTTCAGATCACAGCTCTGCCATTATAAGCTGTGTGTCTTTGGGTAGGTTACTTCCCGTCTCAGAACTCTAGCTTGTCATCTGTAAACAGACTCCTAACCTGATGTCTCTAAAGTCTTTAACATAGTGGGTGACACAACAGTGGGAGCTGTTTTGATTACTATTATTATTCAGCCCTATTAGCTCACAGGACACCAGGCATTCAGAGAGACAAAGAGATGGACACAGGAGGAGGCATCCAGACTCTCACTTATACCAACTCTCATATCCTGGCACTGCCTGTGCGGAGATGACAAATACGCATACGCGTAAGTCCCTGGCCACACGCCCTAGAAAAACCCAGCAGTGCACACAGGCTTGGACACGTGTGTCCACACATGGATACAGGGTGACCCAGGGTATAGCTAGCTGGAAAGACACCCAGGAGTCAGTCATATGCAGCAGGTACCCTGCTCACACCCCTGAGACAAAGGAGTGGGGCCATTGTCGCTGGTGCTGCTGCCACTGAGCCCTCCTAGCTGCTGCTGCATGCCAGGGGAGGGAAACCAGGCTCTCAGAGGGCCCCGGTGAGTCACCAGCCTGATGCAATCCCTTTAAAGGGCTCATCTGCTGGTGCAAGAAGCTGATTCATGGAGGGCGTGGTTGCTGGAGGAGGAGGAGAAAGGCATCGAAACTGCAACAGGAGGGGCTGAGGTTAGGTGGCTGGAATCGTTAATAGGAACTCTTC